AGCAGGAATATTAAAGGGTTCATAGAAGGACTAGAAAATAATATGCTGCCAAAATTGTTGCATAAAAATAGTTTCATCTACTGCTAGACACATTTCAGACGTTCTTCTGGTCAGCAAAACAAATTGAATGTCTTCGAGATGAAGCCCCACATTTAACAGATCAGCCCTGACCTGCTGTCAAAAGGATATTTAGCCTTGGACTGACTGGATGAATCTACAATACACACAAACATGAGGCAGCAGTAAGCCAACAGATACTTTAAATTTTTAATCATGTAGATTGTTAAACTGTGGACTGACACCACATACTGTATAGGTTTGATACACCGCAGCTTTGTGGACAGCACTGCGTAGTATACGTGACAAAATCATGTGTTTGGTGTGGGCTTTATTAAAGAGCACCGGCTGCTATGAAACAATGAGGCGATCCACTCTGCTTTTACAGTTCACTGTCATGTAGTTAATGTGTGACAACACCTACTGCGACTGGCTGGATCTGTCTATTCACAGGCAAAAACAGGAGGACATTTTTTCGGGAGGGGATGAAACAAAAGTGAAACAACACTGTGTGTGTCTTGATTCATTCGGTAAATTAAAAATCAACACTGTCCTCTGAAAAAGGGCCTAAATGACCATTGAGATGACAACAATTTTCAAATCTAAACAACAATGTGTGGACCCAGAACTTATATTGTGCATTATTTGTGATTCTGACAACAAAATCTAAACATTAAGCTTTTTGTGTTGAGGCCACAACATTATCATTTGGTGTTCACAGGTAAAAACTAAGCTGATCACTGTCAACATAAATATGTTAAGCTCACAGAGACAGTAAGTACACAGTAGTATATATGACTTTCCATAGTTTGCATCAGAATCAGATCAGATGCTTCTATTAGCTCGAAACCGTGTTCTTTCTGTAAATAACAATTTTCCAAATGAGAGAGCAAAATCTGCATGATGAGGGTCTGGAAATGGTTTTGTGTGTAAAAGTCAAAGGTCAAATTGCTGTGACTCCCTCTGCAGTGGTTAAGACACTGCAGAGGGTTTCCTCTCGCTCAGGAGGCGAACCAGCCTGTAAAAAAACCAAAGCTTATTCAACCGGGGCCTCAATTACGCAAATCCCATAATAGTCATTAACTGTTGGGAAAATTCAGCTTTAATTGCTCCAAAACAGCAAGCACAATTATACACGGCTTTAATGTGGATTTTAGGAAATCAATTAGTCCATTTCCATATGAAAGAGCTTATGTTGTGTTTGGAGAGCAAGTTGGAGGAGGCGACACTGTTTTTCTGACTGAAACCTCTGTGTGTTTGTCTGATGTTTCCGAGACAAACCGAACTACACCGAAAGCAGTGCCTCCAGCTCTAAAAGGTAGCTTCACGTTCATCGGAGCCAGGGCATCCCAGTTTGCCAAAAGAGAGCAGCAACCAGCAAAAAATGTTGCAAATACAAAGTATTATCTATTTAATAACAATAATAATAATGATGACAGGAAACAGAAGAACAATAAAATGAAAGCTCAACTATAAAACAGGAAGAAAGCTGAAAGCCATTCATTCAGAAGTAATGTCTGAAGGGGTCCGGATGCATCAACCAAACTGCCTGAGGGATGATTAAATAGTGTTAAAACACCTCTCCTTTCTGACATTTCTGGAACTTCTGTAGCTTTCTGAAACTGATCATCTGAAAATTACACCCACTCCCTACAGAAGTTTCCCAGGTGTGTGGAGGAGAAATGGGGGGCAGGAAACAAACTCCAAATTTTTTTATTCTTCACTACAAGATTTCTAAAAGTATGTACCATTATTCCCATTTCAGTGTGACGTGGCCCCCCCAACTTTGGCATGTTTGGAACAGCCACACTTGTGCCTTTAGCCACGGTCAGACAACACACAAATGATTTCATTTTCAGCATACCCCAGCCTTGAGACTGAGTTACAGAAATCTCTCTTAAACCTTACGGGTAGCCAGTAGAAAACAGGAATAACATTATCACAACTTTATCTAAAATTACAACACTTTAGTTTATCACCACATACAAATTTTGAGTAAGTTTAGTCCTGAATTTAAAAAAGTATGGATTGTATTGTCAAAGTCAGCAAAGCATAACTTCAAAACGTTACCCATGTAACAATAAAAGGAAAGTGTGGATGCAAATATCATAGTTGATGAACAATAATGAAGGGATTTCAGATTTTTAATCATTTAGCCTATGTGAAGTTATGCCAGGTCCAACACCTCCAACAGCCTAAAACACATGACAAGTTGATCACTATTGCAGTACTTATAATGTAACATACTGTATAGCTGAGTATCATCACCGTATCTGTGAAAACAGACGGTGTGCTTTCAAAACAATTTGATCCAACAGGCTCAGAACTTAGGACGGACTCCTATATATAACATTTGTCATCATATTTACTCATCTTCACATATTGTCTGTGTTTGAATGTTCCCAGTTCTTCATAAAAAGACAATTTCTTATAATCTAATTAAAACATAATTACATGAATATGTTCACTTGTCAGAGATGAGAAACTGCGGTAAAACCCATTTCATTCACCACACAACACTGCAGCATGTAACCCTCCCATATAACGCACACACACCTCAAACGATCCGTCCGTCTTCTACCTTATAGGATGCCCGTTTTCCAATGTGTGTGTGTGTGTGTGAGAGAGAGAGAGAGAGACCTCGGCCACCTTGCTCTCTCCCGCCAATTAAAATTCTGGTGGTAATTAAAGCACATCACAAACGAGGGAATGCTGCAGACAAGAGCAAGAGACTACGCATGGTAATTAAGCAGTGGGAAGAGTGTGTGTGTGTGTGTGTGGAGGGGGGTTCACACATCACATTTTCTCTTCTTACCAAACTGATCTGCTGCAGTCTGATACGATGCATTATGATTGATTATTTAATGTCTGCTGAATCAATCAGAAATCTACATTAAGATCTGAACCTCAGCAATTTGGATTGAGGATCAGATTGAACAGCAGGACTTTACTGCCACAGAAAGAGGAGAACGCTTTGCTTCTGAAAAGGTGGGGTTCAGATCATACTTGAGATGTAAAAATTTAGGTATTTCCAGAATTAGATTATTTATAATGAAGGCAGCTGGTTCTACAGAGCTCGTTGGATTATAGGTCATTTGTGGCTGTAACGCTACTGGACTAGCGAGTTCCTTCAGGTCTTTATAGCGCTGTTTTTTAGAATTAGTCACCTCTAACAGTGGTTAGTTAGCCCAGTTAAAAGGAGGTGAAAATGTGTCTTCCTGTGTTTACTGCAGAAACAGAGACAGAATCAAATCATTTGTCATGCTGCCAGGAACTCCCACTGCCATTAAATGTCATCACGAGGAGCTCTAAAAGGCAACCTGAGAAGTCGTGAATGCTTCCAAGAGCCTGACAGGAGAGTGTGGACACCTGAAAGTGAAATTTTGTCTCTATAACGTCACCTGGGGTCCATTTGTCTCCACAAAGACACAAAAAAGTACCTTATTATCTCTGTATGGACATCATTACATGAAGACATGCGTCTCCAAATGGACATCTGGAGTTAATTTATGTCTCTATGAAGTGCACTATTGTCTCCATGTGGATGGGCATGTGGAGTCCATTGGTGTGCAGTATTTTCTCTGTAAGGATACCTGACAGTATTGATGTGGACACCTATCTCTACATGGACACCCTGGGTCCATTATTGTCTCTATAAGGACTCCAGGAGTCCATTATTTTGTCTATGTGGACACCTGAAGTCCAATTTTGCTTCTACATGGACACCAAAGATCTATTATTGTCTCTTAAAAGACTCCTCGAATCCAGTCTTGTCTCTATTTGTTCTCCTGGGTTCCATTAGTGTGTCTATGAGGAAACCTGGCAGTACATTACAGTCTCTATGTGACGCTTGGAGTCCGTTGTCACAGCATCGCATTTTTTAAAAATTGTGATTACTTTGTCTCAATGAACAGAGTCATGCAGTCGACAGGAACATCAGCAGCAGTGTGATAATTACATCTAGGTATGTGAGGTTAGGTGGGATCATTGCCCCCGGCAACGCCACATGCCAACACTCATCACTGTGGCAACGCTTTGGTGCCAGAGGGGGGAGTTGCAGGGGTGTATATATATATCTGAGATTGGGTGGTGGCAGTGGGAGGTGGAGGGGTAATGTGGGCAACAAGATGTTCACATCCTATACTAGCAGTTGCCATGGGAGACAGGCTGCATCCCTCCTGGTCCTCATACTGCAGCATCCGCACAGTGCTGTCGCTATGGTGACATCCTCCAGAGAGAGAGAGAGAGAGAGGTAAGGTGAAAGAAAGAGAAACAAAGAGAGGCAGGAGAGGAAAAAGGAACGATGGGATAGAGAGGGAGAGACTGTGACAGTGTCTGGGACTCAAGAAGTTATAAATCTCTGCAGGGTGAGGTGGAAATATTCTGTTGCCTCAACCCAGAAGGACGGCTGTTGAAAGATAAAGCTGGTGAAATTCTGTAGTTTTCATACTGTCAACAAATTCCATGACAAATCCCAAAGGAGTCCAGATTTTTCACAGGAGGATCTGTATGCTTTGTAACATTTCCTTAGCACACGCTAGCTGAACCATGTGTATTACATACAGTACACGCAGTACACTTTATAGTATACAAGAAATACTTTACCATTTTACAAGAAATTGTACACGCACCACTGGACACTGTGACAATGGTAACATAGACCTTTTGTTTAACAAAGCACGGTTTCAAAAGTTTTGAAAGTAAATGTGTCCTCAGTCACACACAAAATACAAGATGTGCGACCTGTGTTGCATCTCTGCCTCAGTAATACCCAGTGAATCTACGCTGCTGTCTGCTGTTGTTATTTCCTTGCCAACTCTAATTCATGGAAATGTCAAAGGTACAAGCAAAGCACACAAATTGTTCTGTTGTTGGCTGCAAGAACCAAAATAGCCAGCTCATTAAACTAATGTTTAAAAGAAATGTGCCCACAACAACTGGAAAAGTCCTATATGTGTGTGAAAACCATTTTACTTCAGTACAAGGCCGGATATGCTTCAAAACTGAACCTCAGCGATGGATCAATACTGACCCAAGCTGTAGGATTTGCCATTTTACTGTTTATTTTGCAGGTTAGTAAGTTGACGTTAGCAAGTTGCATAGCTACTATGGCTACTTCAAATGTACACTAACAGCTGGAGACATGTCAAGGTCTGTAGTGTAGGGACGTGATGCAGAGAGAATTCTCATTTGAAGCCAAAAACAGTAGGTTGATGTAGATTGTTTCACCACACCATTTCCTACAAGCCAACATGGAGTTGTTATATTTTCCTCTTGCCAGACAAAGAAGCAACAAGGAAGAAACTGTTGCCCATCTTTACATCTGATTCTGGGAAAGACACTCATGAGACAGTCAAAATAAATCCCCACTAAAGTTACTCAGACATAGCTGACTCGTGTCTGGTTGAGTCTGGGGAAACTTCCCAACATGTAAAGTCTTATTAGCATTTGTTGAAAAGGCTGCAAATAAACAACAACAACAAAAAACAGAGAATGTGTGTTCTCCCTCTCTGCTGGGTCTTTGTAAAATCAGACTCCTGTACTGTATGCTCCTGTGATCAGCTGATGAGTTACTGATTGAGTAATTCAGCTGCTGGTCTCCCACAGAGGAGCCATCAGACGACCTATTTCTCTCACTCACTTTAATTTGTCGCTGCGACTATTTATCAGAGATGATAAAAAGAAAAACAGCCTTGTGAAGAGACTGTTCCTTCTGTTCCCACTGTCAGTAATGAACTTTAAATTTCAGGTTTTAAGCCAACACAAACAGAAGTCCTTACAGTGCCCAGAAAGCATCAGCAGTGATGCTACAGAATCACCAGTTTGTATCAGTGGGAAAGCATAACATTACTCACTTTTGAGACTATGTTAGGTTCTTGGTTTTAGGTTTGTTGTTGCCCTTCAGGCTGTTGTGTTCGTTCTTTGGTTTTTGGTTTTTTTCCCACATAAACACATGGAAAAGGGTTCAAATCAAATCAAGTCAAATCTCCCTGGTTCTCCCACAAACAAGGTCTCTCTTATTAAATTGCAGAGCACACCAGGGATGTCTAGATCCTCTTCACCTACGTCATTTTTATTTAGGGGTCTAGACAATCCTGGTGCATTTTGTAGATCGGATGCCCTGGTCTGGCTTGGCCCCCTGTTGGATGGACGATGCACAGGGTTATTATTTGCTTACTGTCTGAAAAAAACTGAGTATTTTTATTAAGATGTGATTTTCTGATGCATATTAGAGCTCTTATTTTGAAGTTTGACTCTCTGCACGCCTGACGCTGAATTTTCCCATCTCTGTGCCCTTCGCAGGACCATCAGTCTGCTCTACCAGCGATTCACCATCCTGCCCTTCTCATTATCTTTCTGTTACCTCAGGCGTCAAACCACCGCCGTCCTGAGCCGTGCAACCTCTATATTCCTGCCTCCCACACACACCAGCCTCTAACTGAAACAATACCTTAGAGATACTCCAAAATAATCTCAAATTGTCTAAACAAGTGCTTTGATTTCATAATGGGTGTTTAAATCAGATTTTTTAAAACCCCTAAATAATGAAAAACACTTCAGTTTCCTCCTCCACAGCATCAGATTCAGGCTTCAAATGTTATTTTCTTAAAGTGAAAACCTCAGTGGTCCACTTCTGCTTTAATGCTGCTACAGTACACTTGTTTTGATATTTATTTCACCTGTTTTATAAAAATTTATGAGTTCCCACTAGGATTCGTGCAGAGAAATGCTTTTGTGGCTCAATTGTTTTACTTGTCTCGGGGGGGAAAATGGACCAATATATTTATATCAGGACCCCATGAAATCAGTGCATCCAATTGGAAGTAAGTAAAATAAGATATTAAGACTTTAGTGCTTGATGAATTCACTACATGTGCATCAATGTCACTTATACACACACACACACACACACAGACACACATACAATGGCTGCAGTTTTACTCCAGAGAAATGAAGACTTCAACATTCAGCACAAGCTGAAATGACTCATAGAGAGCGTCACTTTCGGCAGCAGCCCCCTGCGTTTATTGGTAATTCACCGTTTCCCAAGGCGACAGACATCTGAGGTAGAAACCATTGGTCCTGCAGCCTGAAGGGCTGGAGCACAGCAGGATGGACAGCCATCAGATGTGTGACCTGGGGACTTCACAGCTCCATGCTCAGCCTGATTAGTTTTCTATCCACAACTCTGACACAGAGCGGTGGATTTGCTGAGCTGGTGGCTGCTGTCGATCGAGGAAGTTTGAAACTGTGACACTAGCTCATTTATGCTGCGTTTCCACTGTCGGAACCTAACGAGCGGTACACCCTGCATTTCCCTTAACCATCCTGAAGCGCAGCCGCTGGGGTTGAGGGTTCTCTCTGTCAGTCAGTTTAGAGAAGGGAGGGGCTGCTCCCCCTCACATGCACAGTCAGCTGTGTGTTTACACACGGTGCTTGTAATGCTAACACTTGAGGTGTGAAGATGCGGACATTTAACCAGAACCCGTGACAAGTGCTACTCAGCTCGACACGTTTCAGTAGATTCCTATAATGGAAAAATGTCTTTATTGTTGGTACATGTCAGACTCTAACCTGGTGAGTGAGACAGGCAACAAATAAAGTCTGTACAGTTTTCTCATTATTTACATTTTTTTCTACATCTTATTTTTCACTTTGTTCATCTAAATTTCATCTTCTCTCCCCATGATGATCTAAATAGTGTTTCAGAAAAGAAAGGATAAATCCTCTTCATGTCAAGATATTAATTTGTTAATTAAAAAAAGGCCTAAAAAAGTCACATTTGAAATATCTGAAATGCCAAAGGAGCTGCAAGTTGCTTTAGAATTTGGAGGTGAAGTTCCAAAGTGCCCTGTCAAAGACTCTTGTCATCTTTGAAATGTTGCAGAGAAGTGCGAAGCTCTGACTGGCTACAACCACTGATCGGATTTTCTGACTGTGTATTAACATATTTTCACATTTTTTTAACAAAACACACTTTTCTCATGCCTCAGAATTTTCTTCTGTGATAATGGAAATCCATCCATTTTGCTTTCATAGTATGAGTAACCAACAGAAACTGTCACAGGCCTGAGTGTAACAACAAATTACAGCAGGAGGACAAAGCCCGACCTCAGCGACACTTCTCAGGCTTCTTACAAAATAATATCTTCCACCGAAAGACTTCAAACCCAAATAAAATGATTTGAAAGTGCTGTAAAACTGGTAATTGGGCAAAGTGAGATCCCCAGACATAATAGTATTACAAGTCATATCAGACCAAACTGCACCAGAGCAAACTTCCGTTCAGCTACTGAGTTCCTTTGCACTGACCTTTAAAATGGTTTACAATGAATGCAATCATAACAACCACCAGCGAAGGCTAAAATTAACATTTGTTCTGAAAAAAAAAATCTAAAAAATCATTATGTCCCGAGAGACACAATACACAACATATTGAGCTGGTTGTACCTGCGGTGTCTGGCGTACTTCCCGCTGACGTGACCGCTGCCATCACAGCCCGGGGTGGGACAGCTGAGGAGGAAACACACAGTGAGAGCGTGCACGGCAACACAAACTCTCCAGTAGTGTTGTGCATGTCTTGTACCCATTTCTAAACCTGTCTATAGTTAGTTTGTTTGCTCAATGATCTGTAACCCACCATGTGCTTGTTCTGGAGCTTCCCTGGAAAACATACAATTTCTTTGAGTCTCCATTGGAAACCACTGTAACTGCTTTGAAGCCAAGCTGACTTCTCCACAAACAAACAAGATGCATCCTTGCTTGCTAGATTTTTTAGCAGTCCTTCCCGATGGGCTGTGCTCAGAACAGACAGATAGGAGCATGTCAGTGAAGCCACTGTGGTGATGCAGCAAGAGTAGCAAATAGTCACACGGTTGTTTGGTAAAAGAGTTTAAACTTAATGCGACACGACCTGATCCCCTGGTACACAGTGTGGGCCTATCAAATACATGAAAGCATACGTTCTTGGTAGATCACTTTGTCACACAAAGACTGTATTGTTACTTTGCTTTTGCACGATTCACCAAGTTAAAGTTAGGATTTAAGACTTTTTAGCACCACATTTGTTGGGATGATGTAGACTACACTCACTGAGCAGTTTATTAGGTACAGCTGTACAGTACAGAATGCAGTTCAGTACAGCCACCCTGCCACAACATGACGCTAATAATGTTTCAGCTTTTGGTGAAACGGCCAGAAATGTATAAATTCATTTATATGTTTATTACTGAGATCATAATGAAAGGTGGTGTTGTACTGGACAGCATTATATTTAGAGGTCTTCCTAATATTGTGAACCCCTCATGTATGTACAAGAGGGAGAACAAAAAAATAGAGACACCTCTGGGAGTCCAGGACAAGCGCCGTGAGAATCCGTAGTTCCCGAGTCTGCGGTGCCAAACAAACAAGAGATCTGAAACATTATGCTCAGATTAATCTTAAATTAAGAACATAAACACATCTTATTCAATAGTTTCCACTTTCAGCAGCAGAAGTGCTTCTGTCGGAATATTTTCTTTGAATCGCAGCTGCTCTCCAGAGCTCTGAGTCACACTGCTGCAGCTTTCAGGCCGCTCTGTCCTGAAGGCAGGCAGACCGCAGGCCAACGCACGCCGCTTGGCTTCAGGGACTCCACACCCTTGACCTCTGACCCCACACTACAGAGCACCACCCACCCTCTGCCCAACATAATCCAGCCACTCTATACACTCTGTAACTGCAGGCTAGAACAGGAGCTGCATGAAGTTAGAGATGAAGATTTAATATCCTGAGTGCAGAGGCAGAGGAAGAGAAGATGAGGAGAAGATGAGGACAAGGGTAAAGGAGGAAGAGGAACAGGAGGAGTGTGAGGAAAAGAAAGGAAGAAGGGGAGGAAGAGGATGAGCAACAGAGGAGGAGAATTAGGAAGAGGATGAAAGGAAAGTTGTCAATAGAAAGAAGAAAAAGAGGAGATGTGGGGACACAGGAGAAGGAAAAGAGGTGGAGGAGCAGGAAGTGAAGGAGGAAAAAAGGAGGAGCAGGAAATAGGAGAGAGAAGAGATGACAGGATGGGGAGAAGAAGGAGGAAGAAAAAAAGAAGGAGGATGAGTGGAAGAAAGAGGAGGCAGTTTGTTCAGTGTGAGGAGGCTCATCAGTCAGTGTGGGAGCAGAGCCTGATGGAGCTGCCTTATTTATCCCAGCTCCGTTTATAGGTATGTGCATGTGTGTAGTCTTCAACAATAAAACGTCAAACACACTTTCCAATCATGATTAAGTTCCCACAATGCATCAGTGCAACCTTAAGCTCGACAAGCTGTCAAGTCTTTAAATCCTGTTTCCTAAAGCTGTAAAGAGAATCTTCCACCCGTTTCAGCGCTTTCTCGAGGTGAAGCTGGGACTCGATCACTGGGGAGGAACCACTCATTTACAGAGGGGTGAAAGGTGAAAGGAAAACCCTGAATAACGAAGTGGTCTGCTCCAGGACAACAGAGCCTCCATCTGTGGAAGGACATGAGGGGTCACTGACTGGTCTGATGAGGATGACCATGATGTGAACCAGACGCTCTATTTTTATGCCTATTTATCTCGTTTCACAATGAGGGTTCCTCTGTCTGTCTGCATTGTTTACTGCCTGTTTATACTGTTTATTTTGTATTGTTTGCACTGTTTGTTGCTTGTTAATACTGCTTATCTTGTTATATTACACAGCCTTATGCTGGTTTACTGTTTACTTGCCCCTTGCATGGGGATATGTACATGCACATTGAGAGCTGATGTGCCAGAGTCAAATTCCTTGTGTGACTGACACACCTGGCCAATAAAGCAGAGTCTGATTCTGATTTTGATTCTGAAGAACAGTGTTTATCCCTCCAGGAGAGTTCAGAGACTTGGAGAGTCAGTGCCAAGGTGGGGCTGTTCTGGTGGCATGTGGTGGCCCAGCATCTCACTGGGACTCTGTCGGGTCGTCCTTTCACCTGTCCCCTGTCTGCACTTCCCTGCTGTTGACTTGGTTACAAGATTATCAGGGTGCTTTAGCTCCCTCAGCTCAGGCAGCAAACGATGGATCAGGACAAACCCAAGTCACAATGAGCATGAATTTCAAGACTAAAATCATTAAATTCTGAGCTTGGATGTAGCACAAACTGCAGGTCTGATTCCCTGGAAGACTTTTAATATTACAGCCACACATTTATTTCCAAATCTGCCACATCACACAGCAATGAGAATTTGTATATGTTCATCTCTGCAGATTTTTCAGATTAGTTAGCAACTGTAATCAAAAAATAAAATTGATGAAAGTATTCAATGACTGCTCATTTATTCACAGTATTAACACCATGAGTCTTTTCTATTATTGCCCCTGACTTGTGAGCTTCTCTGTCCGTGTCTGGCTCCGGGTGCATGGCTTTCACCAGCACCCGTCAGATTTAAATTCTGGGTGAATCATGCTGAGGTTCTGCTCCTCTGCTCAGGGTTCACACAGCGCAGACAGGACATGTTGTTTACAGTGAAGCGCTGACCTGGATCCAACCAGGTTCAACCATAATCTGCTACACATACCAACATTTGTCAGTTTTACTAAATGTGATTAAGTGAAGCAGAAACTCCCCCTTCTCTCACACACACACACACACACACACACACAGTTAACAGCTGCTGTTCCTCCAGTCATGATGTAACATGTAGAAAGTCATTGAAATGTTATAAATAACTGGTTGAATTTGACTGAGAATGTACTGAACAGCTGAGTAACATATTAACATGACACCCCCTGATCCACTGCTGCAGGTGATAATGATTTTCTCTCAGGTTGACACCATTCAGCTATTCAGCCTTCAAGTCCAGCACATTTGAGAAGCCCGCTGTAGCTTCCACACCAATGCTGCAGCAGGCTACCTGACACTCTCATGCTCCATCTTATACTCACTCATGAACAATCCACTGTTTTCGTGGAGAGCATCACGATTTCAAGGGAGGGATCCTCATTCCTGCACTCAGCTGAACCTTGGTGGACTGTGTCCCAGAGGTCATAGTCCAATCAAGAAAGCTGAGCTGGATCATCTGAGAATGTAATTCTGGGGCAGTGGTGCAGCAGCGCCGTGATGGCTCTGTGCACTTTGGCTTCTAGGGGTCATTTTTCTGAGCTATGAGCAGCCTATATACTTTAGGTACATTTTGTTCAATGCATGACTTTTACTTGTGATGGAGACTTGTTCTGTTGCAGCCTAGTTACTTTTATGATCCGAGTACTTCCTCCTCCTCTAATCAATACACACCATGCTGTGCCACAACTGGTGTAACAGTATTATCTAATGTTGTTTGTCTCATTGTCTCCTTTTCCCTCCGGCCTGTCACTGCTGTTACATTGTCAGCCAGTTTTCAATAATGTGTCTAGGTGCGTTCGATTAGATTAGCGAAGCTTACAAGTTGTGGAGTTACAGTGAGAGAAGTGACATTTGTTCCCTGAGTTTGTCCTTAAAGCATAATTTTGAAAAAAAAATTTACCTGCTGTACCCTCGAAAAGTGGGTATAGTGACTCTTTGGCTAGTGCTGATTTTGCTATCACTACCAGGGTTGTAGAGATTTGAGGAAATGAAAAGTCACGTTAAACAGCAGCAGTCAGCAAGGCAATCGGTTAGCCTCAGAGAGCTCAGGATAAACATGCGGTTAGCTGCAATGGCTATGGCAGACAGCTGTATCTTGTATTTTCTTTCCTACTGACTCCGAGATAAGTGTGGGAAGTGATTTGACTGAAATCATGATTATTCTGATGGGTCTTCCCTCAGCTGCCGTTTGTGACTGGCAACACACGGGATCCCTACACCAAACCACATAGCAGCAGGAAGTCCTATGAGATGATGAGTCAAAATGTCATGTGACTCTTCATAACTATGGGAAAGGTGTGTCAGTATTATTTTCTTTGATAATTGCAAGGTGCAGCTGCCTCAATGCCATACCAAAATGCAATAATAACAGTGCAATCTAATGATGAATATACACTATTCTGGAGTGTGGCGGTTGAGTAGAGGTTGACCAACCTGAATAACTCCTGCGTTACTGCTTCCACGGCAGCTTCAGACAGAGACAGAACAAAAAGACTCTTAGAGCTTCGACAGTTTGCAGCCAACCATCAATATGTCCAACTATCGTATGCTTACGCAAGGTTATGGTGAACATAAATCAGTATTAACAATATGCTGTACAAGTGTCCATAGTATGTTTATCCAAAGGAAATTTGCAGGTGAAGACAGCAGTAATTTAAGCTGAAGAGGGTGATATGATTATTATTGTTAAAGCATAGGCACTGACACACAGAAGAGCCAGTAGCCAGTAGCAGCTGGCTGGCTAATATTTGCAGCTAATGAGCTACATTAGCTGGTGAAATGTATAATTATTCTCTTCTTCCCTTTTTTATTGTGTTTTTTCACTAGGAACGGGCATTTAACTAAGATTTGATACATTAACAGGTGTAACAACAGCTACGTATATGACAGCTAGCATCAGTGGTGGAAAGTAACTGAGTACATTTACTCAAGTACTAACTTTGCCAGGCTACCTTCATTAGCCTATTTCTCAGCAGACGGACAGGCTCATTACCTCGGACTCCTTTGGATCGTGTTCGATGGCGTTTTTCAACAGCATTCACCTCCATCTGGAAAAACCCCACACAAATCAACACTTCAATATGCCAATAATTTCACAATATCACATTTCTCATTCTTTTACTTGTATTTTATTACTAAATCAGATTTCAGTTACTCCCAGGTTTTACCTAGCTAAAACCTTTAAATCTTTTATGTTCTTCACTGCTTTTTGGCTGAACCATAACCACTCATTATTTTTCACCTTAGTCTTATTTTACTCTAATTTTATATCACATATTGTTTTAATTCTTCTTCTTTACTATTTTAATTAACAGGCGCAAACAAAGCATAAGCTGCTTTCCACCAGCGGCCCATTGTATACTACTGTCCTTTGTCATGAACTCATATGTGGAGTGAACCTGGGATTAGTTTATACATGAGACCTCAGACAGAGGTCACACTAGCAACACAATCACGAAAGTCCTGGTACAAGCACATACAGCATGACTTTTTTTTACTTGCTGCCGTCAATTGTGTCACAGTTCTCTAATAGTTTATCAAAGATAATTTCTCCGATTGCTTTGCTTTCACAGCAGTTAAGAGAAATTGTGCAAAAAACAGTTTAATTTAATAATCCTGTTTAAAACGTGTGTGTTGTGACAGCGTACCTGGTTGGAGCTCAGTGCGGTACCACCTCAATCTGTTGCTGGTCTCGTAGATGAAGCGTCTTTTTACCCAAGTTTCAGAGACCGTCTTCTACAGTCATGATCTGCAAAAAAAAAAAACACAGCAGTGTCTCAGTTCATCTGGACGTCACATTGCTGCTGTCTGCACTCATTTGTTCTGTGCAAAATGAGCTCGTTCATGAACATCACTGTCTCTCTGAAATATAGAATCAGGGTGCTCTGATGACATTTAAGTACTTCCTGCCAAATATCATCTACGCATTTTTGCAGATATTTACAAATGTGACATTTCATTCATTCAGTCAATTAGGTGTTTGACCAGGGAGAATTTACAGCTGAGCACATTTCAGCAACCCACAACTTAACCTGCAGACGCTGCATAATAACACCAATGACATGGACAAAAGAAGTCATTCACAGCAGGGAAGGATAAGCTGTTTCAAAAATGTTTTTGCACTGCACTAGATCTGAACTGGAGATTGGAAATTTTATATGGTCGGATAACAGCAGTTTGATTTTTTTGAAAGGAGTGGAAGGTAACGGTGGATCAACAATGAAATCATCAGTTAGCAAGATTTTATTGTAAGCTGCAAAACCCAAAAAGTCAAAAACGAGCCCTGTGTCTACTATTATATTGTTTTCACACAAACATTTCAACAAGTCAGTTCATGGAGACGGGATTTGTTTTTAGGATTTTTAAAGCAGTGAACACTCAAACACTGCTGTCAGCTTCAAGAGGAGATATTAGGACATCTAGGGATTTGAGTTCATTGTCAACATCAATAAAGTTACAGTCATGTTGCACAAACCCTCCTGGCTGAATAGACAGTACAAAAGACTGTGACTCCCAAGGTGCATTTCAGTAGATGTGGTGTTTATAGTCACGATACACCAGAAACCCGCTCTCATCTTTGTACTCATCTTACCACATTATTTACATAGTTTATCTTAATTTAATTGTAAAACATTTGAATGTTTAGTTCTGATGCTAAATGATGATGAAGTGTCTGAAATGTCAGTTTACTTCTCGTTGACTGTCCTTCATACAGGGAGCAGTGAATGGTGGCACCACATTTGGTTTCCGCCCTCAAATCAGTGTAAAGGCATCACTAGAAGTGCTGTCAGACGGTTTAAGACTCTCCTGGGCATTTCTATAGAATCTGATGCAATGCTAACCAAACTACTGCAACAATAAGGCCACTGCAATGCCAGTTTGAAAGAACACAAAAACACTGGCACCAGGAGTCCTTGGGATCTTGCTGTGAGCATTTCAATGCAAACAGCAACATAAAAGAGACAACAGACGCCAGTGAAACAACAGTTTGATGATGAAGACGTGAACACAGCAGCGCGGTGCGCTCGTGTCTCCTCGGCTGCAGTGCAGCTCAGGGGGGTTTTCAACGTTAATATAAATGTAAATTCTGGACAGCCGCGCCTGAACTCTCAGCCGATTGCCATTATGTTTCCACAGCATCCCAAGGCCGGGTGCATCTGAGGCCGCCACTCCACTGAGCGCGCTCCAATGCACCCTACATCAAACACAGCCTTCCCTCCATTCACTGTGAAAAGCTCAACCAGAAAATATTCTACACCTCCCTAGAAACTATACAACTGAATGGGCTACTGTGTGTGTGTGTGTGTGTGTGTGTGTGCTGCAGTGTGTCCATTTATGTAATTATGTGTGTGTGTGCATGTCTGTGTGTGTGCAGGTGATGTACTAACCTCATCAGTGAATGTGTGTGTTTCCATAAGCTGTGTCCTTGTTCTCCCTCTGCATCTGTGCATTTGTTGTTTTATCCTTGTGAGGACCGACTTTAGTTTTAGACCTTGACAATGGGGACTTTTTTTGAACTGTGATAAAATCTATGCAAAGTGACAGTGTACAGTATTCACAAAGTAAGGCCATTTTTTCAATGCAAACAGCAACATAATTAAGAATTAAGTGAGGACATATTTAAAAAGACAGGATATGTAGACACACGTACAGTGAGGACAAGTGCAGACATTTTTTGGGAGGATAAGGATATTTTCCAAAGTGAGGAAATGTAGGGTACATTGGGACATTTGTTGAAAATGAAGAAACTGGTGGGAAATTATAAATCTATGACAAGGAAGGACTTTTTTGAGAGTTGTTTTTGGAAACTGAGGGCATTTCTGGAGAGTAAGGACCATTTTGGAAAGTCTGGATATCTTTGGGAATTAGGACATTTTTGGAATTAGCCGTCCCTGGTAGGCTAGTGGTTAAGGCGCAGCGGCCTGGGTTTGAGTCAGGGTTGCGTCAGGAAGGGCATCCGGCGTAAAACAGGTGCCAAGTGTTAACATACGAGCCATCAGTGTGACGATTCGCTGTGGGGACCCCTAAACGGGAAAAGCCGAAAATGACTTTCAGGACATTTTTGGAATTGGAACTGGAATTTTAGAATTGGGAGATAATTTTGGTAAAGGACGATATGTTTGGGAAGTCGTACTGTATTTAGAAAATGACATTTTGTCAGGTTTTTACATGTATTTCTTCAGAGGGTTAAACCTTGGCTACAAAATTTTGGTTCAGATTAAACCTGCGGAAATGCATACCTAACAAACAGGCGCTGCTCATGACAAACTGAATGGAAAATGGGAAAAATGACCGCTCACTAGAAGCTTTTACGATTTATTAAAAAAGAGCTGATGTTTCAACCCACTAGTCTTTTTCAAGGCAGTTGAAAGTCACAACTATGAATGTAACTGCTTCTAGTTCACTAGCCTTGAAGAATATTGGTGGGTCAAAACATCATACAAGGTTAAGGTTCAAATTAGGTTTACATAAGTCAAGCTTAGAGTTATGGGCTAAATGTATTAAAGTCCTCACAAGCATGGAAGTACAACCATATGATGGCTGCGTACACGCTGTGCATAGAGTGCCTTTTTAATATATTTTGATTATTTATTTTGATGTTATGAAAGACTAATCTGATTTAGTGAAGCAAAATTTTAAGAAGCAGAGCTTAGCTACAGTAGTGATTTAGTGTGCGTGTATGTGTGTGTGTGTGTGTGTGTGTGTGTCACAGTGTCCTATATGGCTGGATTGGCACTGTGCGAAGAAAAGCTTCCTGCTGTTTAGTATTCAGCTCATCACTCTGCCTGTCTGATACAATATGATGCAGAGCTCCCCTATACTGAGACACATACATCAGTACACAAACATGTACTCTTGCAAATGCACACAAACACACAAATACAACAGACACACACACACACACACACACACACACACAGATGTAGATTAACAGAGCAGTACAGAGTTTTGCCTAGTTTGGCAGGGAAGTACATTCTGTTCTTGTGTCTTTTTATTTATTTATTTTTTACTATGGACACAATCTATTGTGCCACTTCAACAGGCTGCTGGGGGCATCAGTGCCCCCTGCAGGTCAAAGCCAACACTGTAACTCACATTAATGACACAAAATGATCAGATTTCTCTAAGTAATCATACTATAACTACATCTTGTGAGACTTGTAAGTGATGATGCACAATAAAATATACAGTTGCATGAATAACACTTGGGAGAGTATTATTATCCATATACCGTGACCACTTACTGAAGGAGCAAAGTGGGGTTAAATGTAGCTTTATTTAATTTGTTTCAAGTGTGCATGTTTATGGTCAGTTTAACCATGGTCGATGCCTTTCAACTGATCGTAAGCATTTGTCATTCTGGGGCACTTGCTGAAATGACAAGAGGGACCTGACTGCAGACAAGATAACGGATTGTGACCAAGATTTGTGCACTGTCAACCTCGGCAGCAAATTCTCAACATTTTCTGGAGGTTGGATTACAGTTAGGGTTAACATTAACACAAACTCCTAACTCTTGCCCTAACACCATACGCCTGCTGAGGTGAACAACTTCCGTCTAATATCGACTACTTCCTGTTGAGGCCAGGCACGCCAACATCTTGTCTGCAGCCAGGTTTTCTTGGAAACTGATGCTCTCATTTCTCTAGACTGGGCAGTCTCACATTTTGATGACTATACACTATTATGTAACACCTACACAATCTCCTGGACACATTTTTGCCAAAAGGTGCCACCACAGTGCTGGCAGCTTGTTCACTTCCACCTACAGCCCAGATTTGTCCATTAAGCAAGTGAAGAAATTATTAATTGTAGAAATGTTCCTTCACATGTGGGGACACAAATAAATGACCCAGCAACCCAAGGACTCGACTTGTCATCTTAATAATTCACAGCTCCCTACAAATGTTCCAGTTCCAGGCCTGGAGAGTCTGCAACACACGAACAAATACAAACACTCACAGGCAAATGTTTGTGAGCCCAAATCAGTACACACACACACACGACAGGCAGGTGAGGTGTGTGTCTGCGGCGGAGCTAGACAGCAGCTCAGTGTTTTATTACTTTTATCAAACTCAACAAACAGAAACACCTGGTGTGTGATGCGACGCTGCAGCACACAAACCAAACAGCACAACTGAATGGAGACACAGAGAGAGAGAGAGAAAGAGAGAGAGAGAGGTGCAGTGCTGCTTCAGCACTGTCTGTTCTTCTGTCTGTCTGGACATCAAGCAGAATTTGTGTTATTTGGACATTAACTGCTCACAAGTGACACATTTTTTCTACAGCAGCAGAGATGTCAGTTAAATATCCAGCCAACCATTTGTTCCATTGCCATGAAATACTGTGAAGGCATTCGTGATCCCCAGATGATGAATCCTAGTACCTGACTTTTTATGTGGCACCACTACATGTCAAGGTTTTCACTTAACCTATCCTGTCAACATAAATGAAATGCTATGAAACTTGGTAAAAACAAATGGCAATTCACTAAACGCTGGTGATGCCCCAACCTTTCATCTAGTGCCAGCATAAAGTCAAAAACTGTAATGGTCCAGTGTTTGCAAAATACCTGCAGCACTAACAACATCCCATCAGCCTCAGCTGTACATTGAGTATATTGTTAATTAGCAGATGTTAGCATGCTGACGAAGTAAGATGGTAAACATTAATTAATATCAGGGTGTTAGCTGGGTATCTCTGTTGTTTGCCCTCCCCATTCACATATACAATGTTAATACTTATGTA